GGTCTGTTGTGAAGATTATAAGGAAATAATATATCTCAAGAAACTAAGTTCCCCACCATTCTACTGATTCAATCGCCCGTTAATGAACTCTGGATTTTTATGTACACCAGCAAGTTTGGTGGACATTATTTGGTAGATCAGAGGCTATCGTGGACCCTCCTATCTATAATGTTGTCTAGACAAACATTTCTCTCCTTTTGGGAATAATCCGCCCCCCCCCCCCCCCCAATTATCACTATGTGATTTGCATAGGAAATTTCACATTCTTACAGTCTCTACCTCTGGCCAGAAATGATTGATCCAGAGGTAAGCAAAGTTACTGGCTGGGAGTGGCTTGTATAGCGTTGCCTGATTAATACAGGACACCTGGTTAAATTTGAATTTCAGATAAACCATGAATTATTTTTAGTATAAGTCCCTGATACAGGGCATCTTATATTTTTATTTGCTTAATCTGGCACCACTAAGCTTGTGAGGAGCTTGGGCTCAGTGTGAACAACACAGGGATGGCCGTCAGAATGCAGCTGGGGGCGATTGGTCAATCATGTTCCCATGGTAGATCTGCGAGGCGTGTTGGTTCTGTAGTTATCTACCAATGTATAACAAACTATCCTCTGATTTCTGGTGTAAAACAAAAACTTTTTATTATGCTTGTGGCTTCCATGCGTCCTAAATTAGGAGAGATTACAGAGGACATAGTTTATTTCTACCCCATAATGTCTGAGGCCTTATCTGGGATGCAAATAGCAAAGGATGACATAAGGAGCTGGAGGACTGAGTCATCTGGAGGCTTCTTCACGCCTACATCTAGCACCCTGGAGGCTGGTTCAGCGGGTACTCGTCATCCAGAATGCCTACACATGTATTCATGTGGCTTGGGATCCCTCACAATATGGCTGTCTCGGGCTAGTTGGGCTTTTTACATGGTGGCTTAGGGCTCCAAGCATGATAGTTCTGGTAAATAAGACAGAAACTGCATAACGTTTTATGACTTTGCCTCAGAAGTCCTACAGCCTTGCTTCTGCTGTATTCTATTGGTCAAAGTGGTCACAAGCCACCTGGAGTTAAGAAGAGGGGATCTAGATCTCACCTTTTGGTGTGAAAGGATTTATAGTCATGATTTTTTTAAAAAAAGATTTTATTTATTTGACAGAGAGAGACACAGCAAGAGAGGGAACACAAGCCGGGGCAGAGGGAGAGGGAGAAGCAGGCTTCCCACGGAGCAGGGAGCCCGATGCAGGGCTCGATCCCAGGACCCTGGAATCATGACTTGAGCCGAAGGCAGATGCTTAACAACTGAGCCACCCAGGCACCCCCATAGTCATGATTTTAAAGTGCCATGCTCATTAGTTGGCCAAGCCGAGACCTTCTTTTTTTTTTTTTGAGACCGTCATTTTTAATAACTCCTCTTGCCTCTTAATGTCTATCAGAGACCCTCTGTAAGGAGCTCTGGCTCTTTCACAAAGTAAGAACTCAAATGCCTACCCAGCCCATGGCATAAAATTCTTTTCCAAACATCTGTTCAGATCATCCTCAGCAGCACTGACACAACCACTAACTTTTTCTGCACTATTTCTTGACTAAATTTCTGATTAAAAATTTAAGCCACTGCGTACCATAGCAGGACCACCAGAACAAGCTTAATTTCTTTATAGACAGAACCCTCCAACTGCATCAATTATTCTGTCATTTGGCATAAAACTGTGGATAGAGGTTGCAACAGCTGTGAGGATGTGCAGCAGGAAAATGAGAATGGTGCTTTTCATCTTCAGAGATCTTGGGCAGATCAACTATCATTCTCATGATCAAGTTTCTACAGATTTCTGACAACCAGGGTATCGGTAATAAGGAAATGATTGAGAAGCACTTCTTCGTTGTATGATGTGTGCACGACCGTGTAATTAAAAATAAAATAAAACATAGGGCAGATGCAGATTTTTATTTTCACTTCTTTCTAGGTAGACTTTGGCAAGTCACTCCACTTCACTGAGCCTCAGTTTCCCCAGTGCACAATGCAGGTAATAATTCTGAGTGAGTTAGCGTAAGCATTAGAATAATAAATATGAACTAAAGCAGCCAGAACACTGCACAGTGGCTACTGGGATATAAAAGGACATTTTGGAATGAACAAAGATCAAATGCTTGTCATGTGCCAACACCACAGGGGACACAGTGATGATCAGGGCGCAGTTCTTGTCACCAGAGATATCATGGCTGATTTAGGGGGTACCGTATCTGTTGTGGAGGAGCAGATAGTCTACGGCTGAGTTTTAGGCAAGATGCTTCCTCGCTTCCTCTGGCTAACCCGCATGTGCCTCAGTTTCCTTATCTGTTACAAGATGAATAATAATAACCACTTTTCCTACCTCACAGGATTATTTTGAATATTACCTAAGATGTAGGTATTTGAGTGCTTTGTAAATGTTAAAATATTAAAGATGTGGTCTTGCATCACTAGCCGAATTGTGGCCCAGGGACCATTAGAACTGGCATCACCTGGGAGCTTGTTAGAAATGCAGACTCTCAGGCCTCACCCCAGACCAACTTAATTAGAATTTCCAGTTTAATAAGACCCTCAGGTGACCGCTATGCATGTTAATGCTTGCAAGGCAGTGGTCCACGAGAGTACTACATTTTTTTTTTTAAGATTTTACTTATTTATTTGACAGAGAGAGACAGCAAGAGAGGGAACACAAGCAGGGGGAGTGGGAGAGGGAGAAGCAGGCTCCCCACTCAGCAGGGAGCCCGATGCGGGGCTCGACCCCAGGACCCTGGGATCATGACCTGAGCCGAAGGCAGATGCTTAATGACTGAGCCACCCAGGCACCCCGAGATGAAGTAAAAAACAAAGCAGTTTAAGATCCATTGTAAGGCAACCTATGGGTAACATGCATAAGAATCTAATAAAAATTAAAAGCCCATTTCTAAGGATTTCAGTTAAAAGGAAAAAACAGGGCTAAGGATTCGCAGGGGTTGTGGGATTTTGAACACATGCTTTAGTCTTATTACCCTAAGTCCACCCAGGAAAGAGGCTTCATTGTAAGACTGAGTTGTATAAACTCTCTTCCCTACCTGCACAGCTGGGCCTTGGCCAAACAGGTCATTTTAGCCACCTCAATGACCAGGGCACCTTGTGGTACTCTGGGCTCACTATGGCAATTGCACTCAAATCGGGATGGCCGCCCATGGGTTTGTTCAGGGCAGTGTGCAGAATAGGTGTCTGGCTCTCACAGTGCCTCTCATTTACTCCTCTATCATAACCTTATCCATTTTACTCTGTTATATGCGTTCAAGTCCGTCACCTCCACTGCACTGTGAACTCCTTCAAATCAAGGACATCTGTTTTGTCTGGAATGCCCAGCTCTCCACACGGTGTCACTGTGAGACACATGGGAAGCTTTAGTTGGGAGCTATCCGAAAGGTCCCCATTCTAGCCCACCAGAATGGCCCATCAAGTGTGTATACTCTTCTCCTTATGCAGTTCTATTTATTTAAGTCTTCTAAAATTTCTTTTAACAATGATTTTTAATATTGTGCAAGTTTGCACCTCTTTTGTTAAATTTACTCTTCAAGACAAAGTTTAGGCTATTGATTTGAGATCTTCCTTTTTTAAAAATAGATTCCCTCTAAGCATTGCTCTAGTGTATCCCACAAATTTTGGTATGTTGTGTTTTCATTTTCACTTATCCCAAAGTGCTTTCTAATTTCCCTTGTGATTTTCTTCTTCGATCCATTAGTTATTTAGGAGTGTGTTGTTTAATTTTACATATTTATAAATTGTAATCATGTGGATGCTCCCTAAGTATCTCAAATTTAGTGATCAAAATTAAACTAACATTTTTTGGGTCTCCCTTCTCTACCTTGCCTTCTCATCCTATATTCTATAATTTTTTGATATGCATCTCTATTCATTTCCCAAGACAGAAACCCTAGAGTCATCCCATATTATTCACTTTTCTCTTATGGGTATAGCCAATAAATAAATCATCTAGTCTTATTGCTTCTCCATCCTCTCAAAAAATCTTGGCACGCATCCTGTTCTCTATCTTCCTTCTGTGCCAGTGCTATTCTAGAGACTAGGTCCTCTCACTCTCTCTCTCCCAGATTATTGTGATTTTTCACTTCTTAGTCTCTAGTCCCCAACACCTTGCATTCACCCTCCACATTGTCCACAGAATATTCTCACATTCAAATTTGATCATATCATTTTTCTGCTCAAAACGCCATTATCAGTAGAGTAATCCCTCTATTCCTTTGCATGACATACTGCCTTCAAGATATGGCCACTGCCTCCCAAACCAGCTCCAGTTCCAGCTCCATGATGGTTCCCTCTATACCGTCATGCCTTACTCAGTCGTCCCAGAACATACTGTTACTGAACATGTCTTCTCTCTTTCATGCTTCCATGACCTTGAATGATACTACCTCTCCCAGAGAGCTCCTCCCAAACTTGGCATTCTTCCAACTAGCATCTTTCAAATCTCTAGTCAAAATCTGCCTCCTCTTGAAAGCATTCCCTGTTTCCCCAGACAAACTTAGGTGCTTCATCTATGCTCAACAATATACTGTATCTACATCTCTAGTAAGGCAGTTATTTTACTGTATTGTGCTCATTAGGATGTTTGTGTTCCAACTAGAAAATAGTTTCTTGAAGGTAGAGCACATCTTTTATCTCTGTATTTCCAGTGCTAGAGGAAATCTTGGCCCAAAACAGGTATTCCATGACTGAATCTCCCACTGTTCTGTACCCCACCACATACTATATAACAGCATTAAATTTCTTTCACTACCAGTGACTCGAGAATGTTTGTTACCGGGGTGCCTGGGTGGCTCAGTCATTAAGCGTCTGCCTTCAGCTCAGGTCATGATCCCAGGGTCCTGGGATGGAGCCCCACATCAGGCTCCCTGCTGGGCGGGAAGCCTGCTTCTCCCTCTCCCACTCCCCCTGCTTGTGTTCCCTCTCTTGCTGTCTCTCTCTGTGTCAAATAAATAAATAAAATCTTAAAAAAAAAAAAAAAGAATGTTTGTTACTGACTTACCTATTTCATCCCAGTACTTTATAGGCAAAATTAAAAAAAAAAACAGAGACCTAAAACCTATTTTGGCACTGTCAATGAATAATGTTCTTCACACCATAAAACCCTCTTTGTCTAATTCTGATTCCGTAAATTAGCTGATATCTCCCATTCACTTCCCGTGATGGTTAAGTCAACTTGGCTGGACAACTGTGCCGAGATTAATATTGAAATCAGTGGAGTTTGAGTAAAGCAGATTGTACTCCATAATGTGGATGGGCCTAATTCAATCAGCTGAAGGCCTTAATAGAACAAAAACTGACCTCCCCCGAAAAATGAATGTTGCCAGGAGATGGCCTTTAAATTTGAACTGACCCTTCCCTGGGTCTCCAGCCCACTGGCCTACCCTGCAGATTTTGGACTTATTAGCCTTCATAATCACATGAACCAATTCCTTAAAATGAATAAATCTCTCTTTCTCTCTCTCTCTCTCTACACACACACACACACACACACACACACACACACACACACCCTATTGGCTCCATTTTTCTGGAGAACCCTGACTAATACCTAAGAATCTTTTCCATTAGCATAAGCATTAGCTTTTTTATGCTGCTAAAGGATGATCGATTATTTTAAGGGATGAATTCAGTAAATAGGTCCATTGGCTTTTCTACAAGCAGAGCAATTTATTCTATTCTTGTGGGCAAGATGGCACGTATGGGGTATCTATCTGGTGGTGAAAAATGATGGTGATAATGACAGTGAGAGCAGCTAACATTTACCGAGTGCTTCCTCTTTGGCGGTCATTGTGCTAAGCATTTTACATGTTATCTGCAAAATAGGTGCACAGTGAGGACTTTTGAAAAACTGCCCTCAGCTGGGAAGAGCTGCCTCATCACAGGTCACGTTCCCTTTGGGGAGGGACAACCTCCTTCCAATACCGGGGCAATGCAGGAGACCCCAGCTCCCTCCCTAGATTTTAAGACAAGTCTGAAGGACAATCCAGCTTCAAATGGGCCTGTAAGATTGGCTGAAGCCTTGAAGACTATACTGCAGCCTAGCTTCTCCCTCTTCCTTCTGCCACCCCACCCCCCCCACAGTATGAATCCCAGCATCAATCCCTATTATGCGTTCCCCCTGCTCACCTCCGTCTCAGAATCTGCTTCTCAAAGAATCCAACCTACACAACAATGCTGTTGTGAGGATTAAATGAAAGAATCCACAGAAAGTCCTTTGCCCAAGGCCTGACAGAGAGCAAGTATTCAAACGATGGGATTGTTATTATCCACCTAAACAGGTAGGTACTCTTGTTATTCCCTTTTTACAGATGAAGAAATTGAACATAAGAGAGGTTAAGTAACTGACTGACTTATATAGTAAAATTCAAGAGGGACTGCGAGTCCAGGTATGACTGAGTCCAAATCCATGCTCATCCTTATGAGGCTCTCCTGTCTTCTTTCACATCATTCTGGAGACTCCAAATGCAATGTCTGGAGGAAGGTATGTGGCAGGTGGAGATTGGGTTGTTGAAGCAAAGTTCAGGGCCAGCCTGGGTTGGGAGTGAACTACAAGCATGTGCCAACTCCATCCAAGAGGTGAGATGGCAAATGGGAAACAACTAGAAGGCGACAGGAAAACAGTTGGGAAAACGAGAGGGAGAAAACCAGGGCTGTCCCAGGACCAATGTGAGGAAGCAAATGAGAAGGTTCAGGACATATTCCCTGCGAGGACCTGGAACACATCTTTTTTTTTTTTTTTTTTAAGATTTTATTTATTTATTTGACAGAGAGAGACACAGCGAGAGAAGGAACACAAGCAGGAAGAGTGGGAGAGGGAGAAGCAGGCAGCCCGATGCAGGGCTCGATCCCAGGACCCTGGGATCATGACCTAAGCCGAAGGCAGACGCTTACCCGACTGAGCCACCCAGGCGCCCCTTGGAACACATCTTTATGGAACACCTGAAAAAGTCAAAAATCCCTGACACCCACTGCAAAAAAACCCCAAACATGAACCAGAAGAAAATCCAATTCCCCATGTAATATTTAATGGGCATCTACCTACATGATCAATCCCTGTCTTCAAGGAGCTCACAGTCCAGGGTCCTGGGAGTGGAGGTGGGAGTGTGAAGCACACAGGCACACACGCTAAACAGCTAAATTTACACAATGCAGCTGAATGAGGAGTCAGTGGAGAGAGTGAGCTGGCACAGAAGGTGTGCTTAATTCTGCCTGAGAGAACCCTGGAAGGCTTTACGGAGGAGGTGACTTTTTGTTTTTGTTTTTGTTTTTTGAGAGAGAGAGTGGGGGGGGAGGGGCAGAGGCAGAGGGAGAGAGAGAATCCAAAGCAGGCTCCACATCCAGCATGAAGCCTGTTGATGCGTGGCTTAATCTCACAACCCTGAGTTCATGACCTGAGCTGAAATCAAGAGTCAGACGCTCAACCAACTGAGCCACCCAGGTGCCCCGAGGAGGTGACATTTGAACAGGGTTTTGAAGGTTAACAGAGCTCTCTGCAGTCAAGGAGAATGTAAAAAGACTAATCTATTTTCTAAGGGGAGAAAGGACACACGGCTATTTGTTTTTCTCCAGGGCGTGGAGAGCACTCCACAGGGAAGAATCACTGCATTGTTTTGTAATAGGTCATAGGCACTTGGTGGTTTCCATATTTCAACAACTAGGAGAAAATGCTCCTGGTGAATCCTTGTAAATCCAAGCACTTCATCCTTTGACAGCCTTGTCATAGGGCAAAAGAAATGGTCCTTTGAATGTACATGTCCTAAGACTCCAGCCGGAGCCACATGTGCACAGGGAAGGCAGCCTAGGTTCCCTGCAGCTCCACAGGGGAAACAAATGTTCTGCTCTATTCTCAGACAGTTGACCATTCCCGGGAGATGGCTTGATCATTTCTAAGCCATGTGCCCCCCAGAGACTTACTGGAGAGCCCCATCTGTAGGCCCCAGTAGCAGCGCTTGTGTCTAGACTGCAGGAATTCTGTCCTCAGGCTCTGACCCAGAGGCATTTGAAACCACACAGAGAGGGTGGCTCCATGCTGACGGCACGGTTGCCGACCAGGTGCTCTGAACCCGGAAGATCCACTGAGCTGCCTCAGAAGGAAGAGCTGGCCCAATTCCCACCACTGCCAATCCGATGGCAGCTCTGCCCTTGGGAAATACTTGCTGCCGGGATGAAGTCATAGCCGTTACGGTCTTGTTACTTGTAATGTGTGTGCATGTGACACACCGATGCCCCTTAGGGAGACTTCCCAAGGAAGCTTTAAGGAATTAAAAGGAAATGGAAATGGTACTTTCAGCCCCTCTCTGTTAATAACTAGCTTTGGTTAAGTGGTTTTGGGTAAGTCCTTCAGTTACTTAAATTCGGTGTGGATGGTGGGCACCACTGGACCTTTGTGCTTTGTCTACAGATGGACGTCAGCAGACAGGCACAGTGAGCGCCGTCCTCGCCATTCCGTCCTGGACCCTCTCGGACCCAGGGATCAGGGCAGTTTGGTTCCCTCTGCCTGGAACTCTGGGGAACAGGTTTGAACAGCCAGACAGCTTCACCTGTCACTCTGAGGCTTCATCGTCAGACATGTTAAACCCTGGATATGACCTTCAGGTGACAGAAATCTCCCATCCTTGAGTCTTTCTCTGCCTTGCAGTGGTCCTGCCCATTAGAATCATCTGGAGAGCTTTTTAAAAATACCTATGTTGGATGTCCACAATAGCCAAACTATGGAAAGAGCCAAGATGTCCATCAACAGATGAATGGATAAAGAAGATGTGAGATATATATATATATATACATACACACACACACAATGGAATATTATGCAGCCATCAAAAAAACACGAAATCTTGCCATTTGCAACCACGTGGATGGAACTAGAGGGTATTATGCTGAGCGAAATAAGTGAATCAGAGAAAGACATATATCATATGACCTCACTGATATGAGGAATTCTTAATCTCAGGAAACAAACTGAGGGTTGCTGGAGTGGGAGGGGGTGGGAGGGATCTGGGTGATGGACATTGGGGAGGGTATGTGCTATGGTGAGCACTGTGAATTGTGTAAGACTGATGAATCACAGACCTGTACCTCTGAAACAAATAATACATTATATGTTAAAAAAAAAAAAAAAGTAGGAAGGGAAAAATGAAGGGGGGGAGATTGGAGGGAGAGACAAACCATGAGAAACTATGGACTCTGAAAAACAAACCAAGGGTTCTAGAGAGGAGGGCGTTGGGAGGATGGGTTAGCCTGGTGATGGGTATTAAAGAGGGCACGTACGTCATGGAGCACTGGGTGTTATACGCAAAAATTGAATTATGGAACACTACATCAAAAACTAATGATATAATGTATGGTGATTAGCATAACATAAAATAAAATTTTAAAAAAGATACCTATGTCGGGGCACCTGGGTGGCTCAGTCATTAAGTGTCTGCCTTCAGCTCAGGTCCTGATCCCAGGGTCCTGGGATTGAGCCCTGCGTCGGGCTCCTTGCCCTGCAGGAAGCCTGCTTCTCTCTTTCCCACTCCCCCTGCTTGTGTTCTCTCTCTCGTTGTGTCTCTCTCTGTCAAATAAATAAATAAAATCTTTAAAAAAAAAAAAAAAAAACCTATGTCACGGACCACACCCCAGAGATCCAGAGTAAGTGGCCTGGGATGGAGACTGGGAAATCCTCTATTTTTTGTAAAATCTCCCCAGATGAGTCTAACAGGAAGCTATGGTGAGAAGCATTGCCCTAAAATCTCATACCGTTGCATAAAACATAATTTTTTTCAGTGTTATGCCAGAATATAACACCACCAACAAAAAAGTAGTACTGGGTCACCTGGGAGGCTCAGTTGGTTGAGCGTCCGACTCTTGATTTCAGCTCAGGTCATGATCTCAGGGTTGTGAGATCGAGCCCCACATCAGGCTCCATGCTCAGCTGGGCAGTCTGCTTGAGATTCTCTCTCACTCGCTCACGCTAAAAATAAATAATCTTTTTTTTAAAAGTAGTACTGATAATAATTGCTTAAAGTATACTGGCGGGATGCCTGGGTGACTCAGTGGGTTAAGCATCTGCTAGCTCAGGTCAGGGTTCTGGGATGGAGTCCCCCATCGGGCTCCCTGCTCAGCATGGAGTCTGCCTCTCCCTCTGCCTGCTGCTCCCCCTGCTTGTGCTCTCTCTCTCTCTGATAAGTAAATAAATAGAAATCTTTAAAAAAATAATAAAGTATACTGGCTAGCATTTATAGCTTATCATCCTGAAAATGACCTTAGGCTCAGTGAGGAAAAGTTGCCAACCCTGAGTAAGCAGGTCATATGCAGCAGAGCTTGGTCTGAAACACCCGGATTTTATAATTATGTCAGCTCAGCCCCTTTCAGTGCTTCACCCTGACTCCTAAATTACCAAGGCTGTTTTCAGTTATCAGACTATTTGAGGCCCGTGAGACATTTACAGCTGGACCTCCCCCACTAGACTGAATTGGAACAGTGAGGTAATTATCTGAGTAATTCAGGCAATGGAGTTTATTTTTCCTGAATTACCTGGATAATGACCTCAAGCCTAATATGATGGAAAGAAGCCAGAGCTACATTCTGATGGTTTTATTGCCCCCTCAACAACACATTCTTATTTAAAAGGTCCAGATTTAAAGAATTAAACTGTTGAAGCTTGCGTCTTCCTCATTTGCCACAGGACGCCCCATTAATCATCTGGCAAAGATAGCAGCTTCTCAGTGTTCGGGGACCCTGTGGTTGTTGACTGCTCCTCCTGGCTGAGGAACGCAGCAGTCTTGGATTCCTGGCATGGTCTCTGTGTCTCTGGGAGTCATCACCTCAGCTAATGAGGTGACGAAGAGGAAGGCTTCTGGTGTTGAATTTTCATTTCTGCTTATCATTTCTTCCTTAAACTACAGAACCAAACATGCGGAGGTAATTCCTGTTTTCCCCGGGCTGGATGGGCCCGGATCTGTAACATGAAGTACCTTATCCATGGGGCAAGGCCTCACCACATGGAGGCTGGAGAAGCTGTTGCAGCTGAAGGAACAGGAACTCCTTTGCTTCTGCTGCTGTCACTGTCTTCCTCATGGAAATGACCAAACGTCTCAGAGGAAGAGGTGTCTGTCCTATTTCCCAAGGAGAGTTCTTCCTCCTGGGCACTCAGTCATCCCTCCAGAGCCTCGGCTCATCACTCATTCCTGTCTTTCATCTCTCCTCGAGCTTTGCTCTCTACTGCCTCCTTCCCTTCTGCAGATAGGGTTCAGTCTTCTCCAGCCCTGGCAAGTAGGAAGCAAGGTAGCAAATGAGACTGGGGGAGACCAGGCCAGAGCCAGTGGTGGATGAAGTGATACTATTAGGAGATGGGAAGAAAAAAGTAGAAGCCAGAAAATGGAGCCAGGTCAGAGACACTGAGATCAATATAACAAATGGGAACCAAGAAAGACCATGATGCTCTGAGAAAACATGGGTTTGGAATTGAATCCTGGCTCCTTCACTTTCTGGCTATATGATAATCTTTAAAACAGTGATGTTATTAAAATCCACTTCCTGAGGTGTTATGGGGTTGAAATGACTTACTGCATATAAAATTGCTTAAACAAGTTTTATATTACATAATTGTTACTGTTACTATGGCAAAAAAGGAAAAGCTGGCCAACAATGTTAAATGCTTCTCTGGAATCAGGGTGGAAGAGGGAGTAGGGGTCTGTCTTCTAGTCCTTTCCTTTAAACTTTTGAAACTTCTCTCCATGATAAGAAAAGTATTTTACATAGTGTTCAAGAACACATATTTATTCATAAAAATATTGTAGTTGGCACAGCCACTCTGGAAAACACTGTGGAGTTTCCTCAAAAATTTAAAAATAGAGCTACCCTATGACCCAGCAATTGCACTACTGGGTATTTACCCCAAAGACACAGATGTAGTGAAAAGAATGGCCATATGCACCCCAATGTTCATAGCAGCAATGTCCACAATAGCCAAACTATGGAAAGAGCTGAGATGCCCTTCAACAGATGAATGGATAAAGAAGATGTGGTCCATATATACAATGGAATATTACTCAGCCATCAGAAAGGATGAATACCCAACTTTTACATCAATGTGGATGGGAGGGAGGAGATTATGCTAAGTGAAATAAGTCAAGCAGAGAAAGTCAATTATCATATGGTTTCACTTATTTGTGGGACATAAGGAATAGCATGGAGGACACTAGGAGAAGGAAGGGAAAAATGAGGGGGGGTGGAATTGGAGGGAGAGATGAACCATGAGAGACTATGGACTCTGAGAAACAAACAGGGTTTTAGAGGGGAGCGGGGAGGGGGGATTGGTTAGCCCAGTGATGGGTATTAAGGAGGGCACGTACTGCATGGAGCACTGGGTGTTATACAAAAACAATGGATTGTGGATCACCACATCAAAAACTAATGATGTATGGTGACTAACATAATAAAATTTAAAAATATATATATTGTTAAATACAAATTCAAAACCGAGTAAATTTTAAAGATCTAGCAAGTAGAGAGGAGCTCCAAAGGGCTGCAGAAAAGGAAAGGTTTTTAAGGTAGAGAGGTTGGGGGTGGAGGGGAAGAAAATTATTAGCAAAGAATCCATTGAAAATTCATGCCCACCCTGAACTTTAGAATATTTGGAATATTCTAAATAGCTTATTTGGAAAGAGGGTCTTTGCAGATGTAATTTAGGCAAGGATCAAGATGAGATCCTGCTGGGTTATGGTGGGGCCTAATCCGATGAGTGTGTCCTTGTAAGTGGTAGTAAAGGACACACAGAGAACTTGATGTAAAGATGCAAGCAGAGATTGAAGGTGTACTATTATAAGCTAAGGAATACTGGCAGCCTCCAGAAGCTGGGAGAATCTAGGAAGGCTTCTCTCTAGGCTTTCTGAGAGAGTCTGGCCCTGAGTACCTTGATTTCAGACATCTAGTCTCCAGAACTCTGGAAGAATACATTTCTCTCATTCTGAGCCACCTGGTTTGTAGTAATCTGTTAACAGAAGTTCGACGAAACCCATACATGTGCTTATAGGTATCTGAATCCAAAGCTTCACAAAATATCCTTACTATGTGTGATGTGCTTTAATATTTTCTATCAGTGCTGGTTGTGACCCACTAAAATTAATGTCATGACCCACTGATGGGTTGTCATCCACAGTTGGAAAAAAAAAACTGTTCTACTTTGTCTCTCATTGAGGATGAATGTTGAGTGAGAAAGGATATTTGGACTTGGTGATTAAGAGTCAATTCTGGATCATCATTAAATATAAACACAATCAAGAAGCCAGTGGGGGTTGGAGGGAAGAGTCAATGCCGACTAGCAAGGAAATAATTCAAGTAGGGATGGTAGGAGCTGATGGTTAGAATAGAGGTTTGATCATTATAACAAAGACCCAAAGTAGCAGTGGCTTAAATAATGGACTCCTGTTGTTAAAGAATAATTTTTTTTATATAAAAGGTAAAATCTCAACTCTCATACCAGTATAAACTGAATACATGTCAAAGATTTTAACTCATTAACTGATGAGGGATCCAGTAATATATGGAGAGTTCAAAATATCACACTTACACAGGTTAATCAGGAATGCTGAAATCAATTTATAAATACATGTAAAATTGGCTTTTTCCATGGGGCAGGAGTGGGGAACAAGGATGAGGGGAATCGACTATCCCCCCACACTGGACAGAATTTGTTTGCATGGGGAAGAGAATCATTTGGACCACTATCCATTATCTGTAACTTAACAGAGCTGTAAAACAGTTCAAAGATAATGAATGGTAGAGATAACTGCTGGATAAGCTCCTTAGAACACCCATGAATCTTTTTATTGCTCATTTCAAATTATTTCAGTTTTTCCTGGCACTCTCTTATATGAGAATGTAAGTATTCTAGAACCACCGTGGAGCTCCCTGTGCTGGGGGACCAGCTGCTTCTAACTTACTTATTCCTCCTCCGTCCCTAGAGTGACACTTTCATCTGCGTGGACCAAGATAGCGCTCCAATGCCACAACCACATTTCTTTCAACAGGAGGCAGGGAAAGGGGAAACTAATGCCCTTCCCTTTAAGGGTATAACTGAGAAGTTGTACACATGACTTCTGATCCTATTCTGTTAGGCCAGAACTTAGTCGTATGTTCATTCCTTGCTGCAAGGGAGGCTGGCACACGTAGGCTTTATTCCCTGTGGCCATGTGCCTACAACTTGAGGGCTCTCTTCCTAAAGAACATAGAACAGATATTAGAGGACAATTAGTCATAATCTTAATGAAAGGACCTAAACCAGAATCCTGAGTTTAAGGATTACTAAATAATAATGAAGAAATGAAGACAGAACATCTTGGTTACTCTTTTGAGAATTGGCAAGAAAAAGAAGCAGCAGACCAGGAACAGGAAGGGAAAGTCAGACAGAAAGGAAAAGGGACTGGTTTTTCCTGGTCTTGAACTCCAAAGCTCACAGTACAAACGCCATCCCCTGTATGTAGCCTTGCCTAATCCCCAGAGTTAAAAATCTCATCTCCTAAGCTCCCAGATGCCTTGATGTATGCCATTTGCCTCATCACTGATTATTCCTGTATGTCTCTTATCTCTCCTGCAGGCTCTAAGTACCTCCTTTGTCTTTTCAACCGTCACAGCCTCTAGTATCCTGCTTTGCCCACAGCTGACTTCTTTCTCATTTATCACATTCCTCCCTATTGGTCTCTCTTCAGTATGAAGCAAAAGAAGAGTCTAGTATTTCCCTTCCCCTTTCAACAGCACAGAGAGTTAACAGTGGTCTTTGAATAGTACTATTTCCATCTTTCACTCAGGATAACTGTGAGAAATGACTGTTCTCACACCTCAGTGTTGTAAGCAGGAGTTGCTCAGCAGTGAAGTGTTGCTAATATGAAGAAGGAATGGGTGTTCTTTCTTGCTTCTTGTCATGCATGTTTCTGTAGGTTAATGATTTGTTATGTAGCTATTAAGATACTAGGATTGATAAATATGTACAGGGTCCTTTTGCAGTAAAACTGGTTATGATTTGAAAAAAAAAGTGAGACTTCAAATCCCAAGTTTGATAATCATGGCTTCAACTCAGATTTCATTTATATATACAGTAACACATAAGACTTAATCAAAGAGTAAAATGCCTGTTCTACCCAGGACAGTCTAGCATATTAGAAAGTCAGAGGAACTTAAGGGGTGCCTAGATGGTTCAGTTGGTTGAGCCTCAGACTCTTGGTTTCCATTCAGGTCATGATCTCAGGGTCCTGAGATCAAGTCCCATGTTGGGCTCCGTACCCAGTGTGGAGTTTGCTTGGTATTCTCTCTCTCTCTCTCTCTCTCACCCTCTGCCCCTTCCCCCTCCCCCACTTGCCCTCTCTATCTCTCTAAAATAAAATCCTTTAAAAAGAAAGAAAAGGAAGGAAGGAAGGAAGAAAAAAGAAAGAAAGGAAGGAAGAGAGAAAGAGAGAAAGAAAGGAAGGGGAATTTTGAATACACAGTAAAGATACAAATCCTGATCCTGCTACTTACTAGCACACATGACCTTGGGTGAGTCATTTAACTTCTCTGGATGTCTCCCTTCTCATCCATGAAATGGGGATAATAAACCCACCTTGCAGGGCTATTCTGACATATAAGGCTATTGTATATACAATGTCATAAATTCAATGGCATTTATTATTATTTTAACACCAAACCAAGAGTATTTGGATTTTTTGACTGCATTCATCTTTTTTAACCAAATACATGGTATTGCTGTGTAGATACAGCTACAGTCTGCAGAAGATACGTCATGTTTATGTCCATTAGAGACTATATTAGCAAATGCCTCTGCTCAGCCCATCCATCATTTCAGGAAAATTATCAGAAACATCATAATGATTTGTATAACGTAACTAACAGTTCATCTTCCTGTGGAGCGGGTAAGTGGAGATAGGCTTATGATAGTAACTATACAGCTTTTAAAAATCTACCTTTGTTTCTTATTTACTTTGGATGGGGGATCTTTTTTAGACTCCTTAAAACTTTAAGTAAGTCTCAGAGCCCCCAGTTAAAATGACCAATTAAGTTGTATAGAAACTCTTTCCTTTATCCACATGTAATTATAGGGCAGATATTTCAGAATGTATATAAGCGGTGGTATTTTAATAATTTTGTTGAGGCTTGGGGCACCTGGGTGGCTCAGTCGTTAAGTGTCTGCCGTTGGCTCAGGTCATGATCCCAGGGTCCTGGGATCAAGCCCAGCATCAGGCTCCCTGCTTGGCGGGAGGCCTGCTTCTCCTTCTGCCATTCCCCCTGCTTGTGTTCCCTTTCTTGCTGTGTCTCTCTCTGTCAAATAAATAAACAAAATCTTTTAAAAATAATAATTTTGTTGAGCTTTAAGATGTGGTATCAAAAACTGCACATTCCTTCCAGTCAGGGGTAGAAAAATGGGACAGGGAGAGAGGAATGACTTACTTGGCCTTCCTACTCTTCAATAAGGCATTGACCCTTGTCAAAGAGAACACATATACATTCACACACAAACAAGGACTTCCATTTACCTTATTTTCAAATTTAAATTATAGTATCTGGTCATTCATCTTTGTCACAATCCGCCAAATAGTTTTGCAAGAACATGTTTCATAAACAAGCTCTCCTTTCAGCATCGGCCAGGAAGGTTAAGGTTTAGATCCTGTGTGATAGAAAACCTTTTTGTAATTCTCCCCCAAACATCTGTTCAGTCGTTCATCATTAACATCTGTCACCCATTTCTAGGCTCAACCCAGACAAAGCTATGTTTTTCTAACACACTCTATTCCAAATTGTTACCAAGTGATTCCTACTCATACTAATCTTACACAGGGATTGAGAAGACATCTTATTGGATCAAATTCGTCCTCTCCTAATGCAGCATCTACCCTGCAGCCTTGGCAAAGAGCCAGTGGCTCAGAGGAAGGGAAATTCCTCCTTACATGCTAACACTTTCCTGCCTCAAATTGGTAGTTACACTGAAACTTTTAATTCTCTTTAACCCTTCAGGGTTAGCAACATTATCTCATGCATCCTATACATTTGTGTATCAAACTTTGGCCCATCAGGCCCATCCTATACCGTATTCAAGCCCCAGTGGGGTTGCTTTGCAAACTAGCTGAAGTAAGAATATATGAAATGTTTTCTAATACTTGACCCAATTATTTGCATAAAAAGGCAAGAAATGTTGGCTCATTTGGAAAGAGCAGAGTGGTTAAAAGCATGCAGACCTGAAATGATATCTTAAAAATGTCAGTTAGCTTTGGACACTTTAGTTAATGACTCTGGGCCCTCATCTACTTAATGGGGAAAATGGGTACATTATTATTATATGAGTTAAAAGAGACATTGTATGTAAGGTGCTTGACACAGTGCCTAGCACATAGCAAGCAACGCAGTGGTAACTCTTGCTATCATCACCATCATCATCATCAAAGAAGTAGAAAAAGACCAGAATGGCTTTACCTTGCGCTTTTACTCTCAGCATGTCTTTTTCCTTTCTGCTTAACCAGAGTTTCCTGAATGCCTCTTATGGGCTCAGACATGTGCCAAATAGTAGTATGAATGAGATAAATTCCTTCTCCTCAAGAAGCTCTCTCCTTAGTAGAGGAGAGAGATAGATCGATGACCTACTTCAAATCAGACTGTGGTAAGTGCTATACAGTTACAAGTAAAGCTCCACACAGATTATTTGAAGATGTTTTAACACCAAATCTCTGTTTTTCTTATTAGAAGACTTTAATTGAGGCTCATCTTACACAGCAAGTTAGGAATTTAAACCCCAGGGCAGACCTTTCATTTCAGTGGGAACCTAATGGTTATAATTTAGGTCAATATTTATAATGTCAGTAGTGCAGGAAGCCGGGAGAGAAGGGTTTCACCTCTGTTTCCATGAATGTTTTAAAAAAAGATAATAATGAAGAAGGCCCCCAAACTGAACCAGATTGAGAAACTGAATTATTCTTTTTTTATTTCCATCACCAAATATAGTGTAAAAAAGATATGAGCAAGATGCCATGACTCATTAAAGCCAATTTGATATTATAAGGTTGCTAAATATTAATATCAATCTCTACCAACCAGTATCTGTCTGTCTGTCTGTCTATCTATCATCTATCATCTATCTATCATCTATTTTTTTTCCTTCTTAGAGATCAGAGAGTCCTATGGATTCCATTTTCCATTGAAGGTAATCGTAAGGAAAGAGTCCCTGTGGGAATTCGATCCTGGCCATAGCTATGGGCCCCTTTCCCACATTATCTGGGGAAAGGGCAAATGGAGCTGAGCACCTTCCAGATCTGTATCCTTCTGCTGTTGTTCCTTCATGGGTCCCTGCCCTGGGGGCCTAAGTCTTATGTGGGAGATAAGTGTGTCACACTGAAGACATGACATATGTGCTGAGACTAACAGATGGAATCTGAGTTCCTCAGAAGAGAGGGAGGGGGCAGACAAAGACTTTCTAGACAGAGGGAACTGCTTGGGAGAAGAGGGGTGCAGGCTCCTGATAGCTGGTCTGTAGGGGGAGATGCAGAATGGGAGTGGGGAAGAATGGGCCAGGAGCAGGTCCCCAAAGAGAGCACACATTCCTAGGAACGGGTGAGATCCAGTCCCCAAACAAAGACAACTTCCTAGGAACAAGTGAGATCCCAGGCCCATTCTAGAGACCCCTCAAATGTGTGCACTGAGGTCCACACGGGCCACATAATGCCATGTCTTCATGGAATTTTCCCAGTGCACAAATTGTTCCCTCAGGCTTTATCAGCCAGTGATATATTTCTATCCTCCTTCAACAGATTAAAAAATTGAAATTTATCAGTTGTGTATCTTTGGGTATTTTACTGAATTCCTCTGAACCTTTATTTCCTCATGTCTAAATGGAAAAAACAGCACCCACATCTCTGAGTGCCCACGAGCATTTATGTACATTGTCTGGTACTAAAAGGCACTCATCCATGCTCATTCCTTTGTGTCCTAGGGTTACCCACGAGGAAGCAATAAGAAATCAAACCCAGGTGTCCTGACCAGTAGGTCACGTGTGCTCTGAGGCATCCTTCTACGTCCATGCACACCCTGCAGACAAAGTGCAGCTGGTAAGTCCCAGATGAACTGCCACCATGTTCACATTGTGAAGCTGGGAGGTATGTGTCCCTTACCCTTCAACCCACCTACTTCAACAAACCCTGACCCTGCCAGCACATTCCTGTGCTGATCCCTACCCAACCCAGCACCCCTGCCTATGGGGGCTGAGAGGAGAATCAAGCTAACTCCAACAAGTCAGGAAAAAATATCACCCCAAGGGAGGTCTCAGCCATGAAGTCAACTGGGAGGGGAAACCAAGGACAAGTGACACTAACAAGAGTGGATTTTTCAAGATGTGTTTGTCTTATAAAAAAAAAAAAATTACAAAGGCAAATCAAATAACCAAAGAATGCATGATCTGTGAGAGAGAAAAGTAGGAAACCGAGTTAGAAAAGGAAGGGGCTGACTAAAACCACTTGGGAAATAGAGATGTGTCTAAATCAACCGGCCCTAAGGACTTGCTGCTGAGATGCTTGCAGCCAAGTGGACTCCTTTCCCTGAGAGTCAACCTGAGATTAGAATCTTGTTCTCGAAGTTGGTGACATCTTTGAAACTTGATTTATTGTTTCCCCCTCAAAGCCTTCCTGTGCTGCAGTCGCAGGCACTTGGTTTCTGGGTCTGGATGTTGCCCTCCTCCCAGGCAGGATGTCAGCTCGGTCAGGTAAGAGGGAAGCGGATGTGCGCACGCCCAGGATGCGCATGCCCAGCTTCCGGCCCACCTCGCCTTGGAGCTTGGCAAACGAGCAGTCCAGGGCAGAGTGCGGGTAAGCCAGGTGCATAATGTCTGAGGCTCTGTAATGTGATACATCCGATCTGTCTAACCACAGAATTCACAGATTGTTTTAATGTGATCAGATCACACTCTGTCCCTGCTTGCGGCCCTTCTGTGATATCCCATGCCCCCCAGAATGCAACCCACAGTCATTAGGGGCCACGAGGCCCTGCATGGTGGCTCTGAGCTGCCTTACCATGCTCACTTTGTGTCACTCTTCCCCACCAGGGCTATGTCACAGCTGTGTTTGCCTTCTGACAGTTTGCTGGTGACTCCCTCCTCCTTCCCGCTCACAGTCTACACTTAACGCTCTGCCCTCTGCCTGGCCGCGGTCGCCTCACTCTGCCTCGCTGGTGCCCGCTCCAAATCTCAGTGTTATTGTCTCTCTCTTAAAGAGGGCTTCCCTGTCTCTCCATCCTAAGTAGGTCCACCCCTATGATGCGCTCACAATAGCCCAGTCTTCTCCTTAGTGGCTCTTGTTCAAATGCGTGCGTGGAGTTATTTGTTCAATGTCTATCGCCCCGTCTCTGATAGACGGAGGCATTGACTACATCTATTTTATGTGTATTGGATACTGAGAACCTCACAACAGCTCCTGGCTCAGCACAGGGTGTGACAAATGTTCAGAAAGTGAATGAATGGCTGGTTTGAAGAGAACTTCAAGCTGATTGACTCCCACAGCTGATGGCTTCTGACCAAAATCAGCTCAGGACAGAATATCAAATTATTAAAACTGCCTGTAACTGAACTGAATTAGACAAAATGGTAGTTTGGCCAGACTGTCTTCTCCTTCTATCCAAAGAACCGTGTTAAAGGGAGGTCACTGGAGTAGCAGTTCGGTAAGCTCTGGCACTTGGTTTCAACTCAGGTGGTGAGCTCAGGATCATGAGATCAAGCCCCGCCTCTGGCTGGTACTCAACACGGAGTCTGCTTAAAATTCTCTCTCCCTCTCCCTCTGCCCCTTCTCTCTCTCTCTCTTTCAAATAAATAAATAAATCTAAAAAAAGGGGGTGGTCACTGGGCTGCAAAGTTATAAAGAACTTTGAGAAAAATAAGCCCTATTTTTCAAAACCAGAAAGCCACTAATCAGAAGTTTTCTGGGAGAGCTGGTCAACTCAAGTTTCTTTGTAGTCATACAGCCATCCATGTAAATGCTAAAATGTCAGAATTTAAAGTTGTTATTTGGAAAAGAAGCAGCTGCATCTCCAGAGAAACCCACAGCTCCTTGCTCACATGGGGTAGTAGTTTCCGGTGTGATCCTGAGAGGCCCAGCTGTTCCCATAACTAAAGGCAACTTCCAGTCATTCCTTTGGTTTTCCACTGATTATAAAATATTATTATAAAGGCAGTGCATGTCAAGTCATGGTCATTTATGAAAACCAGGAGACTGCCAGGGAAAAGTAAATAAAGAGAAAAACTCATGACTCATGTCTGTCTCCCTCTACTGAATCAGGACTGGGTTCACGGCCAGAAACTGGAAGTTGCTCTCTCTGTGTACCAGAACCGTGCTAGGCACATAATAGATCCTCCAGTCAGGTCTACCGGTGCTCAGACCCTGTGGGCACATTTTCTACAACCTCCAGAACTCCCCTCGCTTTCCTCCCAACTTCTGTTCTATTTAGACGTAGACTGTCCTCTGACCTACAACAGTATCTCCAAGCTAGAGTCTTCCCTCCTTTCGGACAAGGCATTTGTATTCAATTTTCTACTTCCTAAGAACTGTTATTCAGACTATCTCATTCCCATCTTTGGCTGACTTGGATAAGAGTCTTCATTCAAGCCTCAGCCACTTTGGGTCCACCTGCCTCCCCTCAGCCCAAGCCCCTCTATGAAATTTGAAAGAGTGAATCCCAGAGAAATGGGATACATCAGTTAGCTGCCACCAGCTGACAGGTAACAGGCATGGTGTCCCAGGCCTGGCTATTAAACTCCCTCCAAACATGAATGACAGAGGAGGAGAGATTAGTGCACACAATGCCACTACCTATGTTTTTTCTAGAAAGACAGTAAAAATACAACCCCCAAATACAATAGCATCAAGGCACAGATTGGTGCTTACTTTTCCTGATCTGAATGAATTCCAGATTGCTTCTCTCAACTATTTTATGTTTTCAGACCTAAGTTAGAAATTTCTTCCCTTCTTCCTAAGGATAAAAGACGTATGTAAGAGTTGTTAAGAGCTTGGACTTTGGAAATTCTAGGTCCACCTCTGAGTAGTGGGGGAAAGCTATGTAACCCCTGCAAGCTTCAGTTTCCGTTTGCCAAGATACAGAAGATGAGAGTGCAGACAAAGCTTGCCCACTGGGATGTTGGGGAACTCACCTGCCCCAAATGAATTATATTTCCAAAGATTAGATATCTTTTCAAAACAGCTTTTCCTGCTACCATGTGATTCAGATCCAGCATCTTCTAGATATATTTCTCCTCCTTCCTCCCTCTTCCTCTCTTGCTCTCTCCCCCTAATGGATTAAGAGATGAGATGTCTAATGTTAATTTGCACAACTGCAGTTAAAAAGTGTAAAAGAGGGGTGCCTAGGTGGTTCAGTCGGTTAAGCGTGTGCCTTCAGCTTGGGTCATCGTCCCAGGGTCTTGGGATTGAGTCCCGCATTGGGCTCCCTGCTCAGCTGGGGGCCTGCTTCTCCCTCTCCCTCTGTGCTCTCTCTCTCTCCCCCTCTCCCTCCCCTGCCCCTGCTCTTTCCCTCTGCCCCTCCCCCTCTCCCTCCCCTCACTTGTGCATGCACGCTCTCTCTCAAACAAATAAATAAAATCTTAAAAATACACACACACAGGGCACCTGGGTGGCTCAGTCGTTAAGCATCTGCCTTCGGCTCAGGTCATGATCCCGGGGTCCTGGGATGGAGCCCCGTATTGGGCTCCCTGCTCCGCGGGAAGCCTGCTTCTCCCTCTCCCACTCCCCCTGCTTGTGTTTCCTCTCTCGCTATATCTTGCTGTCAAATAGATAAAAAAAAAAAAAAAAATACACACACACACAGAGGACTGAAAGTCAGATTGGATTCTAGTCCTTCTCCACCTAGACACAGAAACTCCAGTAACTCACCTAACTCTAGACCCATTTCCTCAGCTTCCACAGTCCCATCTTGCACTTTGTATCCTAGCGATCATAAAATACCCATAGCTCTCCCCACATATTGGTCTGTTTTCTACCTCTTTGGCTCAGTTAGGGTTGCTTTGTTTTGTTTTGTTATTCACATAAAACTTTGTGAGTGAAAGTATCTTATAATATATGTAATATATAATAGACACACTGTTATATATAGTTTTGTGATAGAGATTGGTAGATCATTTTATACATATATCTAGACAGAAAGATGGTTCCCTGCGCTAACCTCAGTGCATGCACAGTACTTGGCACATTCTAAGTGTATAGTAAGTGTTTATGGAATAAATTAATGACTGAGAAAGCTGAGAGTCCAAATGTAGGGATGCCTGGGTGGCTCAGTCGGTTAAGCGTCTGCCTTCGGCTTGGGTCATGATCCCAGGGTCCTGGGTTCAAGTCCCAGGTCGGGCTCTCTGCTCAGTGGGGAGTCTGCTTCTCCTTCTGCCTCTGCCTCTCATGAATAAATAAATAAAATCTTTATAAAAAAAGAATCAAAATGCAGCAGTGGTATTAGGTCAATTGTCATTTTCATATTTTTTCTATAAGACGCATGTATTTTTTTGTTGTGGTGGTAAGAGCACTTAATGTGAGATTTACCCTCTTGACACATTTTTAAGTGCACAATACAATATTGTTAGCTGTAGGCATGGTGCTATACAGCAGATCTCTAGAACGTTTTTGTCTTGCATTATTGAAATGTTATACCTGTGGAGCAGCCATCTCCCCATTTCCCCCTAACCCCAGCCCCTGGCAACCACAATTCTACTTTCTGCTTCTAGGAGTTTGACTTTTTTTTTTTTTAATATATCATTTTCCTTTAATATTCAAATCCACATTGACAAAAGTGGCTCATCATTTTTAGAACAATTAATTTGACTTTCAAGCTAAAACATGTCCATTTCAAAACTGTGTCCACAATAGATTCACCAACTCTTCTGTCAACTCAATGTTAGCATTGGGTTCAAAAGATATTGTGTAAATTGAAAAGGAGTTCTAAATTTACCAGTAACCAAAAAAAAAAAAAAAAAACCTTCAAATTTCTCTTGTCATTTTTGCAGCCAAATTATATAATTTTGTTAATTGCACTGGCAATTTTCTGCATATTGATTTCCATTAGAAAAAGGCATAAAATTATTATTATTGCTCTATGTAATGGAATTTTTAATTTCAGCAAATTCTCACACTGGTTTTGCTGGGTCACAAATAAGCTTTTTTTTTCCACAACACTTCAAATTTAGCCTGTTCTTTTGTAGTGTGATATTGTATCACACTAACATTTTTTGTCTTTGACTTAATTTTGTTTCAAGAAAATCTTGAATTAGAGTTAACAATACAGGGACACCTGGGTGGCTCAGTCAGTTGAGTGTCTGCCTTCAGCTCAGGTCATGATCCCAGGGTCCTGGGATCGAGTCCAGCATTGGGCTCCCTGCTCAGCAGAGAGCCTGCTTCTCCCTCTGCCTGTCACACCCCCTGCTTGTGCTCTCTCTCTCTCTCTCTGACAAATAAATAAATAAGATCTTTAAAAAAATAGAGTTAACAATACCGTAAATTTTTACAAAACAGCTCAACTGATAAGTACTGGCAAAAAATCCCAACAGATCATTGACTTCATTGCTCTCCTATTTTGTTCAACAGATCTGTAAACTGGCAATGATTCACAACATTTACATATATATACTAAAGAATTTTAACAACTGCAAACATGACACTTTTCACAGAGTATGCTTCAGAAGCTTAGTCCAAATATTTTCAATATATATCATAGAGTGAA